GTCTGACTTTTTAGGAAGGAGATGCATCATAGATGGGTTCTTGATCGTCAATGAAGTGGTGGATTGGTGGAAAAAAATCCAGAAACAAAGGCCTAATTTTGAAGCTTGATTTCCAAAAAGTATATGACACTGTGAATTGGATTTATTTTATTTTATTTTATTTTATTTTATTATTATTATTTTTTTTGCATATGATGTCAAATGTTGGTTTTGGTCCTAAGTGGGTCAACTGGATTAGATCTCTTGCATTAATTCTGCTAGAGTATCTGTGCTTGTTAATGGATCTCCTACATTTGAATTTTGCCCACAAAAAGGATTGAGGCAAGGGGAACCACTATCACCATTTCTCTTCAATATTGTAACTGAGGGGCTGAATTTGTTGCTGGCAAGAGCAAAGGAGTTGGGCCTAATTAAGGGAGTCTCTGTTGGCAAATGGAGTTAATGTCTCCCATCTGCAGTTTGCAGATGATACCATCATTTTCTATGAAGCTGAGTGGGCTGAAGTGGCTATAGTTAAAGAGGATCCTGAGGTGTTTTAAAAAATATCAGGCTTGAAGATCAATTTTCACAAGAGTGTGGTGTGTGGAATATGAGTGCCTGAAGATATTGTTGCTGTGTATGCTTCAAGATTAAATTGTACTTATTAGAAATTACCCTTAAAGTAACTTGGGATGCCATTGGTTGCTAACCCAGCCAGGAGAACAACTTTTGGAAACCGGTGGTGGAGAAATTGTAAGATTTCTGAAAGCTTTTATGTATATTCCATTATATCAAAGATTACAATCAGACCTTAGATTATATAACCCTAAATCCTAAACCAAAAAGGAAAATACAATTATAATTATGTCTCTAACAGGACTCTAACACAATCATGCCTCTAATAGGACTCTAATTTGTAAAACACAGGATAATATATTCTATATTCTCACACCCTCGCTCAAACTCAAGGTGTTTTAGCAGAAAACACTGAGAGTTTGCTAAGAAGAAACTGAAACCGAGCGGTAGTGTGAGTCTTGGTGAAGAAGTTCGCAAGGTGCAAAGCCGAAGGAATGAAAGGAAGCGAGATAGAGGCAGACTGCAGATGCTGGCGAACAAATGACAATCAATCTCAATATGTTTCGTTCGCTCATGAAAGACAGTATTGTGGGCAATCTAAATAGCACTGCAGTTGTCATAATAGAGAGATGTCGGAGAAGACTGAGAGACACCCAAATCTGACAAGAGACAACGAAGCCAAACAATCTCAGTAGTGGCATAAGCCATAGCACGATACTCAGCTTCAGCAGTAGAGCAAGCAACGACTGATTGTTTCTTGCTTTCCAAGAGATCAAGGAATCTCCAAGAAACATACAGAAACCAGATGTAGACTTACGATCAATAACATCACCGGCCCAATCAGAGTTGGCATAAGCCACCAAGTCCAAAGAAGAAGTAGAGGACAACAATAAGTCCTGAAAGATGGTACCCCTGAGATAGCGAAAAACGCGAACCAAAGCAGCCCAATGGGTAGAGCGAGGAGCAGAAACGAACTGACTAACCACATGAACAGCATAAGCAAGATCAGGGCGAGTGACAGTCAAATAAACTAAACAACCCACAAGCTCGCGATATAAAGTGGGATCATCCAGAGGGACACTATCAGTAGAGTTAAGTTTCACATTAAGCTCAATAGGTGTATCAGAAACCTTAGTATCAGTAAGACCAGCACGATGAATGACTTCATTAGCATACTTGGCCTGAGACAGAAAATAGCCTTTGGGAGAAAAAGCAACCTCAATACTGAGAAAATATCGCAATGGACCCAGATCCTTCATTTCGAATGTGCGAAAGAGATGCTGCTTGACCTCAGAGATAGCAGAAGAGTCTGAGCCAGTGATAATCATATAATCCGCATAGAGTAAGAGAGCAACAAAACCAGCCAAGGTATGTCGCAGAAATAAAGCAGAGTCGGAAGCAGAAGAATAAAACCCGAGCTCGGTAACAGCAGTCTGAAATCGATCATACCAAGCACGAGGAGACTGCTTTAGACCATACAGAGCACGCCGAAGACGACAAACCTGACCAGAGGGATGGTGAAGGCCAGATGGAGGACGCATGTAAACCTCCTTAGTGAGATGGCCATTAAGAAAAGCATTCTTAACATCCATCTGATAAAGAGGCCAAGAACGAACAGCAGCAACAGAAATCAAAGTACGAACAGTAGTCATTTTGGCAACAGGAGCAAATGTCTCCTCATAATCAATACCATACTCTTGAGAGAAACCTTTGGCAACCAGACGAG